ACAAGAACGGATGTGTAACGAAAATATGCCACAAATCTAGAAAAATCATTTCAGAAATTGTAGTAGTACATTCTTTAAATTTCAACTTTTTGCATTATTTACGATATGGATTTGTCGAAAGCGTAAATAATGCAGGATTGCACTATTACAACATCATTCCATCCATCCATATCCGTTATTTCCTCAGATATATAAGGAAATTTCAACATCATTTTAAGTATGTTGAAAATTGCACTATTTTATTACGTCGTTCGTTTCACATAGATAAGCACACCTGGCGTTTGGATGTCGCAGAGCACGAGGGCGCGCCATGGGAGCAAATTCTACGTATGTATGTTGACAATTTTATAGGATTGAATTTTGAAGTCACTTTAAATGAGTTTTTTGTACAGGAACGGATTTGTTACGAAAATATGCCGGAAAATCGCGATTTTCGAGCTTTTCACGGCTTTAAAACCGCTCCCAATGGACCTAAAAAGAAAAAATTGGCATCATTTTTGTCTTAAAAGTAAGCAGCATTAATTTTTAAGGTAAGACTATCCTGAAATTTTGCGAAAGAACAAATTTATTGCACACAAATGGCGAAAAACCGTGGAAAATCGCGATTTTACGAGTTTTTAGAGCTTTCCACGGCTCCAGCTTTCTCCCTAATGGACGTATGAAAAAAACGTTCAATCATTTTTATAGGAAATTTTATCCGCTTTATTTTTGGAATAACTATTTTCTCGATATATCGCACTGGAAAAGAGATATCTTGGGAAAACCGCGGAAAAACGTGATTTTTAGCGGTTTTTCCGATTTTCCAGAGTTAGCACAGGGAAAATTTGTTGGGAAACCAAAAATTCGGATTCAGCGTAAAAAATTACATAGGAATCAATCATAACCTGATTTCACCTAAATTTTGCAAGGTAAAATCCTTTATTGCCTGGACTATAACTTAACCTGATAAACTACTGAGGCCTGAAGAAAGAGAAGTAACGAGGAAAAGAGGAAGAAGAGGGGAAGTCCGCACAGAAATAATAACAGGGGTCCCTTGCCTCATGACTTGCAGGAGGAAGAGGTGAGACGGAGGCAGGCTTGCCCATGAAGCCAAGTAAAACTGCAAGAAATAGAATTTTATAAAACAAAAATAGCTCTCAGCTGAAAACTTCTCTCCTCCTCGACGCAGCTGCAACTATGAAACACTATTAATCACACCTCTGTCAAATCAGCATTAGAGTGTTAGCTCTTATCGAACGATATTTACGATCAATTAAGTTGGAGGAAAATTCGAAAGATTTTTCAGTGTTTGGTCGAGATATCGTCTGGTGACAGATAAATTAGCCGAGCCAAGCTGATGATTTATGACTGCCAGGAGAAACAGAGCTCAGTGATGTCAAATTTAATCATTTGAAAAATAACTTATTAATATTTTTGAGGAAATAATGACTGAAATTATCTAACTGAAAAAATGGACGAAAAATTTGTAATAAATGTTTGATAATTTCCTTCTTTTGCCGAGATGAAAAAAGTCACTCAGTGTGAGCTCTTCACAACTTTACTAAATAAAGATAATCACAGGGCAATTAGGACCATTTAAATTCACTAAATTTACAAAAAAAAAAAAAAAAAAAAAAAAAAAAAAAAAAAAAAAAAAACCC